CTCTATTACCATTTTGCTGAGAGTTTTTATCATGAATGGATGTTGAATTTTGTCGAATGATTTTTCAGCATCTATGGAGATTGTCATGTGGTTTTTGTCCTTCTTTTTGTTGATGTGGTGGATGATGTTGACGGATTTTCGAATGTTGTACCATCCTTGCATCTCTGGGATGAATCCCACTTGGTCATGGTGTATGATCCTTTTGTTATATTTTTGAATTCAGTTTGCTTATATTTTATTGAGTACTTTTGCATCTATGTTCATCAGGGATATTGGTCTCTAATTTTCTTTTTTGGTGGGGTCTTTGCCTGGTTTTGGAATTAGGGTGATGTTGGCTTCATAGTATTGGGAGTATTTCCTCCTCTTCTATTTTTTGGAAAACTTTAAGGAGAATTGGTATTATATCTTCTCTGTATGTCTGATAAAATTATGAGGTAAATTCATCTGGCCCGGGGTTTTTTTTCTTGGGTAGTTTTTGAGTACTGTTTCAATTTCTTTGCTGGTAATTGGTTTGGTTAGATTTTGTGTTTCTTCCTTGGTCAGTCTTGGAAGGTTGTATTTTTCTAGGAAGTTGTCTATTTCTTGTAGGTTTTCCAGCTTCTTAGCATATAGGTTTTCATAGTAGTCTCTAATAATTCTTTATATTTCTGTTGGGTCCGTCGTGATGTTTCATTTCTCATTTCTGATTCTGTTGATGTGTGTTGGTTCTCTTTTTCTCTTAATAAGTCTGGCTAGGGGCTTATCTATTTTGTTTATTTTCTCAAAGAACCAGCTCTTGGTTTTGTTGATTTTTGCTATTGTTTTATTCTTCTGAATTTTGTTTATTTCTTCTCTGATCTTTATTATGTCCCTCCTTCTGCTGACATTAGGCCTCATTTGTTCTTCTTTTTCCAATTTTGATAATTGTGATGTTAGATTATTCATTTGGGTTTGTTCTTCCTTCTTTAAATATGTCTGGATTGCTATATACTTTCCTCTTAAGACTGCTCTCGCTGCATCCCACAGTAGTTGGGGCTTTGTGTTGTTGTCATTTATTTCCATGTACTGCTGGATCTCCATTTTAATTTGGTCATTGATCCATTGACTATTTAGAAGCGTGTTGTTAAGCCTCCATGTGTTTGTGAGCCTTTTTGCTTTCTTTGTACAATTTATTTCTAGTTTTATATCTTTGTGGTCTGAAAAGTTGGTTGGTAGAATTTCAATCTTTTTGAATTTACTGAGGCTCTTTTTGTGGCCTTGTATGTGGTCTATTCTGGAGAATGTTCCTTGTGCACTTGAGAAGAATGTGTATCCTGTTTCTTTTGGGTGTACAGTTCTATAGATGTCTATTACGTCCATCTGTTCTAGTGTGTTGTTCAGTGCCTCTGTGTCCTTACTTATTTTCTCTCTGGTGGATCTGTCCTTTGGAGTGAATGGCGTGTTGAAGTCTCCTAAAATGAATGCATTGCATTGTATTTCCTCCTTTAGTTCTGTTAGTATTTGTTTCACATATGCTGGTGCTCCTGTGTTGGATGCATTTTTATTTAGAATGGTTATATCCTCTTGTTGGACTGAGCCCTTTATCATTATGTAATGTCCTTCTTTATCTCCTGTTACTTTCTTTGTTTTGAAGTCTATTTTGTCTGATACTAGTACTGCAACACCTGCTTTTTTCTCCCTGTTGTTTGCATGAAATATCTTTTTTCCATCCCTTGACTTTTAGTCTGTGCATGTCTTTGGGTTTGACATGAGTCTCTTGAAAGCAGCATGTAGATGGGTCTTGTTTTTATATCCATTCAGTGACTCTATATCTTTTGATTCGTGCATTCAGTCCATGTACATTTAGGGTGATTATCGATAGGTATGTATTTATTGCCATTGCAGAGTTTAGATTTGTGGTTATGAAAGGTTCCAGGTTACTTTTCTTAGTATCTAAGAGTCTAACTTAACTCACTTAGTATGCTGTTACAAACACAATCTAAAGGTTCTTTTCTGTTTATCCTCCTTTTTCTTCCTCTTTTATTCTTTATATATTAGGTATCAAATTCTGTACTTTTTGTCTATCCCTTGATTGACTTTGGGGATAGTCAATTTACTTTTGCATTTGCCTCGCCATCAGCTGTTCCACCCTCCGTACTGGGGTTTTACTACCTCTGGTGAGAGGTATCCAACCCTAGGAACACTTCCATCTGTAGCAGTCCCTCCAAAATAGACTGCAGAGATGGTTTGTGGGAGGTAAACTCTCAGCTTTTGCTTATCTGGTAATTGTTTAATCCCTCCTTCAAATTTAAATGATAATCTTGCTGGATAAAGTAATCTTGGTTCCAGGCCCTTCTGCTTCATGTCATTAAATACATCATGCCACTCCCTTCTGGCCTGTAAGGTTTCTTCTGAGAAGTCTGATGTTAGCCTGATGGGCCTTCCTTTGTATGTGATCTTATTTCTGCATCTGGCTGCTTTTAAAAGTCTGTCCTTATCCTTGATCTTTCCCATTTTAATTACTATGTGCCTTGGTGTTGTCTTCCTTGGGTCCCTTGTGTTGGGAGGTCTGTGGATCTCCATGGCCTGAGAGACTATGTCCTTCCCCAGATTGGGGAAGTTTTCAGCAACTACCTCCTCAAAGACACTTTCTATCCCTTTCTCTCTCTTCTTCTTCTTCTGGTATCCCTATAATGTGAATATTGTTCTGCTTGGATTGGTCACAAATTTCTCTCACTATTTTTTCATTTTTAGAGATCCTTTTTTCTCTCTGTGCCTCAGCTTCTTTGTATTCCTCTTCTCTAGTTTCTATTTCATTTGTCTCATTCACTGTATCCAACCTGCTTTTAATTACCCTCCATCGTACTCTTCAAGAATTGGATCTCTGACCTGAATTCATTCCTGAGTTCTTGGATGTCTTTCCATACATCCATTAGAATATTGATGATTTTTATTTTGAATTCGCTCTCAGGAAGAGTCAGAAGGTCTATGTCATTTAAATCTTTCTCCGGAGTTGTATTAATAATTTTACTCTGGACAAGGTTCCTTTGGTGTCTCATGTTTGTATATGGCGCCCTCTAGTGTCCAGAAGCTCTGTTCTGGCGCTGTTCAGCCCCTAATGGAATGTCGTGGGTCGCAGGGGAGTGGTATTGGTGCCTGGGGGGAGGAAAGAGCTGTTTCACACCTCTTGGCTGCTGTACCTGTCTCCACTGCCTGAGCCAGTGGGCCGGTCACACAGGTATGTTTTTGTCCCAGAGCAGCTGGATATGGATCCCTGCTTTCCACAAGCAGCTGGTATCCCAGTCTCCCCGGGAACTCTGCTTGTATTAACTTTCCAACCCTGTAATCACGTGAGTCTCATGAAAGCACCATGAAATGTAGGTTTGTGCTCCCAGCGCAGATCTCTGGAGCTAGGGATTCAGCAGTCCCAAGCCTTCCACTCCCTCCCTGCTCTGTTTCTTTTTCTCCCGCCGGTGAGCTGGGGCTGGGGAAGGGCTAGGGTCCCACAGAGCCAGAGCTCTTGTACTTTACCCCGTTCGGTGAGGTCTGCTCTTTTCTCCAGGTGTGTACAGTCTGACGCCTTCCTCTTTCCTGTTGCTCTCTCAGGATTAGTTGCACCAATTAAATTTTCTAATTGTATCAGGTTTTAGGAGGAAGCCTCTGTCTATCCTCTCACGCTGCCATCATTAATCCAGCCCTTCTCTTTTTATAGATTATTTAGGTTATTTCTAGTTTTTTTATGTTTATAGAAAATGGCTGCCTTTAATGGTCTTGTCTATGGGGCCTTTGACATCAGTAATCTGGTAATAGGGAAAGAAGATTCTCTGAGATGCTTCCCACTTTTAAAAATAAATTAACTTTGGAGTAGATAGAACATGCATGTGGTATAATATTAAAAAAACAAACTTAAAACAATAAATAATTTTACAGTGAAGTGTTTCCTTCTTTTGCCCTCCAGCCACCCAGTTCTTCTTGTTAGAGGTCACCTTATTTACCAGGTAAAGGGAAAAGTTTTGAAAGCAAGGGCAGAAAAGAGGCCTTCTTCTGTCATTACTTCTGGGCCTTAGTTTGTGTATTCATACTGCAGATGGTTCAGTGTGTGGAGGTGAGATGATATGAGTGGTGCAGGATGCAGAACACTCATGTGGGCAATTTTGCTTCTGTCCTAGCTCTGAGTGTGGAGGTCGCCCATGTTTTTCTTCATGCCATTCCCTGCCTCGAATGCTCCCACTTCATAAATGTTAGCTGTCCATTTCTGTTTGTCCTTTGGTGTGCCTAAGTTACAGGAAGATGTTTTCTTTTGAGGGAGTGATTAAAAAACACCCAAGAAACCATAGTTGACCCTTGAACAATGCAGCAGTTGGGTAAGTGACCCCTCAACCCCACCTCTGCACAATCGAAAATCTGAGTATTACTTTTGTCTCTCCCAAAACTTAACTACTAATAGCCTTTGGTTGACTGGAAGCCTTACTGATAACAAACTGTCAATTAAAAAATATTTTTTATGTCAAATGTATTATATACTGTATTCATACAATAAAGGAAGCTGGGAAAAGCAAATTTTTTCAAATTGTCACAAATCTTTTTCCAGTGTATTTATTGAAAAGAAAAACTACTTTTAAGTGGACCCATGCAGTTCAAACCTGTGCTGTAGATATTGAGACATAAAGTACATACTGAAAAGCACATACATTCTAAGTCTGATGAATTTTCAGAAACTGAACCCATCTGGTCACCAGTGCTGTGATCAAGAAGGTGAACATGGTTTCTACTCCAGAAGACCCCCAAAGGGGGCATTATTATGATAAAAACAAAAGACTAGAAAGTTGATAGGATAAACTGGTAAATTAATGTGTTACGGAAAAGCCAACGTTCTTGAAAGAAGAGAGTGTGTGTTTCTCACCTAAGTTTTGGTGTTTGGTCTTTGTGAACTCATTTCAGAGCTTGATGGCAAAAGAGCAGGTTCTCTTGATACACTTTGAAATAAAGCTGAATATTCTGATGGTCATTAACACATTTTTTTCTTCCTTTCCTTCGACCAGACCCCAGTGCAGTGTTTGACATCCATGTGCTCCATATTACCACAACTGAAATGCAGTTGGAATGGCAGAATACAGACAATGTGTCTGGATACATCTACCATCTAAGCATACAATCTGAGTATGGCACTAACAACACTAACACTTCTCACAGAGCAGCCACTCTCAGGGGCCTGATCCCAGGCACCTTATATAACATCACAGTCTCTCCAGAACTGAGCGATGTCTGGGGAAACTCCAGCACCATTGAACAGTACACATGTAAGTCTCTTAGGATACCCTCCTAAGAGTATATTTGCCCTGACTTTCATTTGAAGGGTGAGAAGTTAGCACTTGTTAAATGATGAGGTAAAGGACCATTGTGTGTCCGGGCTCCAGGTAGAAAGTGAAACTCCTTAAACGACAGCCTAAGAGAAGGTTCAGTGTTTTCATGGGGCAGTGGTGCTGAGCCATGTAAAAATGATCCCATAAGCATGGGAAACATGACTGTTCCATTCATTCCTTGGGCATATGGACTAGAGGAGGGTGGCCCCATCATGGTGACATTGGAAGGTTCTGCTCAAGTGAGTGTGCAGCAACAGTGTGGGAGGTGATGTACTACTACTTGGCCTAAATATGTGGTAGAGATGGCAGCTTATGATCTTTCCAGTAAATTTTTCTCCTTCTTTATCTGTTTTCAAAAATAGGGACTTTTATCTTGAAAATATATTTCAGATAAAATATTAAAAGAAGCCTGAAAACTAATTGTTTTGAGATTTAATCTAATTATTTTCTGAGTGTCTTTTTGGGAAGCCTTCCATCTTTTGAGTCACAAAATATAGCTTTATTCATTCTTTCCCAAGAGGAGCTAGGCTGTATTTAAATGCACTCCGTAAAAGAGTCATGGAATTCAAGCTAATCTACATCTTTTTTTTTTTAAAATAAGGGCCCAGCAATGTCTCCAACCTTGAAATAAGTGTCAACACCACAGCAGCAACCTTACGTTGGCAGAACTTTGATAAAGCTTCTCCCATGTATATTTACCGCCTTCTTATTTATGAGGATGGAGAGGCTCACAAGGCGACAGAAATAGTCACAGGTGTTGGCCTCACCAGTGCGACAGTCACAGAGTTAACACCTGGCTCTTTGTACACAGCAGAGATCCTGACCCAAATGCAGAATGTCACCAGGTCGCTGGTGCCTGTCTGCCAGTCATTTTGCACAGGTGAGTAGGTCCAGGTGTTTGCCTCCTTCTTGTGTGGTACTGATCTTGATGGGAGGTCCTCCCAGACTTAGTTTATTAGGTTCCATGTGGCATGCAGTAATAGGCTCTGAGCTCTCTGAGACATTCTGTGAACTTATTAGTGTTGTCTTGTTACTATCATCATTTAGTCGTCCAGCAAATATTTATGGTGCACTTACTTTGCAAGGCCCTTTTAAATGACTCAGATCTAAGTCCCTGCCTTCCTGGAACTTTTGTTCTGGTAGGGGAAGGCATAATAAACAAGATAAATAAGTTACTAGATGATGGTTACTGCTGAGGAGAGGGGAAGAAAAAACAAGGAAGGGGAGATGAGATGTTTATCCAGGGGGCCCAGGGAAGGTGGGCAAAGGTGAATTTTGAGCAGAGACCTGAAGGAAGTGAGGGAGCCAGCCATGTGGATATCAGGCAGCGGAGCAGCCAGTGCTGAGGCCTGAGGCTGCAGTGTTCTTACTGTGTTGAAGGAAGAGCAGGAGGCCAGGGTGGCAGCGGATCCATGGGAGCAGGAGGGTGAGGCATATGACGTGAATCCCAGGCGGTCATGGGCCAGGGTGTGGATGGTGCCCAGGTGTGCTGTTCATAGTCTGGCTTTCATGCAGAAGAAGGTGGAAGGGATTTCATTAAAATGGGTGCTCAGCCTTCACACCTTTCTTGGTCCTTCTCTCACAATGCAAAAGATGGCGCTGAAGAGAAGGCGGCCACTGCAGCACCCTTGGAGGGCAACCTGGGGATGCTGTGCAGGCCGTGATGAGTGCTTCTCCCGACATTTTCAAGTATAGATCATATACTAGGACACAAAAAGAGCTTCCAGAAATTCAAAAAGATTGAAATTGTACCAACCAAATTGTCAGACCACAAAGGTATGAAACTAGAAATAAATTACACAAAGAAAACAAAAATGCACACAAACACATGAAGGCTTAATAATATGACTCTAAATAATGTATCGATCAATGACCAAATAAAAACAGAAATCAAGCAATATATGGAGACAAATGACAATAATAATTCAACACCACAAAATCTGTGGGATGCAGTGAAGGCTTTTCTAAGAGGGAAGTATATTGTAATATAGGTCCATCTTAGGAAAGAACAATCCCATATGAACAGTCTAAACTCACAATTAGCAAAACTAGAAAGGAAGAACAAATGAGGCCCAAAATCAGTAGAAGGAGGGACGTAATAAAGATTAGAGAAGAAATAAATAAAATCAAGAATAATAAAACAAAGGAAAGAATCAATGAAAGCAGGAGCTGGTTCTTTGAGAAAATAAACAAAGCAAATAAACTCCTAGACAGACTTATCAAGAAAAAAAGAGAGTCTACACACATAAAAAGAATCAGAAATGAGAAAGGAAAAATCACTATAGACACCACAGATATACAAAGAATTATGAGAGAATACTATGAAAAATTATATGCTAACAAACTGGATAACCTAGAAGAAATGGACAACTTTCTAGAAAAATACAACCTTCCAAGGCTGACCAAGGAAGAGGCAGAAAATCTGAATAGACCAATTACCAGCAATGAAATTGAATTGGTAATCAAAAACCTACCTAAGAAGAAAATCCTTAGACTAGATGGTTTCACTGCTGAAGTTTATAAAACATTTAAGGAAGACCTAATACCCATACTCCTTAAAGTTTTCCAAAAAGTAGAAGAGGAGGAAATACTCCCAAACTCATTCTATGAGGCCAACATCACTCTAATACCCAAACCAGACAAAGACACCACAGAAAGAAAATTACAGACCAATATCCCTGATGAACAAATATGCAAAAATACTCAACAAAATATTAGCAAACCAAATTTAAAAATACATCATAAATATCATCTATTATCATCAAGTAGGATTTTTTCCAGGGATGCAAGGATGGTACAACATTCCAAGTTCATCAACATCATCTACCACATCAACAAAAAGGACAAAAACCGCATGATCATCTCCATAGATGCTGAAAAATATTTGAAAAAATTCAATATCCATTCATTATAAAAGCTCTCAACAAAATGGGTATAGAGGGCAAATATCTCAACATAATAAAGGCTATATATGACAAACCCACAGCCAACATCATACTTAACAGCACAAAGCTGAAAGCTTTTCCTTTAATAATTGAGAACAAGACAAGGATGCCTACTCTCCCCACTTTTATTCATCATAGTTCTGGAGGTTCTGGCCATGGCAATCAGAAAAGACAAAGAAATAAAAGGCATCCAGATTGTAAAGAAGAAGTTAAACTGTCCCTGTTTGCAGATGACATGATATTATACATAAAAAAAACCCCTAAAGAATCCACTCCAAAACTACTAGATCTAATATCTGAATTCAGCAAAGTTGCAGGATACACTAATACACAGAAATCTGTTACATTCCTGTACACTAATGATGAATTAGCAGAAAGAGAAACCAGGAAAACAATTCCATTCACAACTGCATCAAAAAGAATAAAATACCTAGGAATAAACTTAACCAAGGAAGTGAAAGACCTATACTGTGAACACTACAAGACACTCATGAGAAGTTAAAGAAGATACCAATAAATGGATACATATCCCATGCTCATGGGTAGGAAGAATTAATACCGCCAAAATGGTCATCCTGCCATCTACAGATTCAATGCAATCCCTATCCAAATACCAACAGCATTCTTCAACAAACTAGAGCAAATAGTTCTAAAATTCATATGGAACCTCCAAAGACCCCGAATAGCCAAAGCAATCCTGAGAAGGAAGAATAAAGCTGGGGTAATTATGCACCCTGACTTCAAGCTTTACTACAAAGCCACAGTAATCAAGACAATTTGGTACCAGCACAAGAACAGACCCATAGATCAATGAAACAGTCTAGAGAGCACAGATATAAACCCAAGCATATATGGTCAATTAATATATGATAAAGGAGCCATGGATGTACAATGGGGAAATGACAACCTCGTCAACAACTGATGTTGGCAAAACTGGGCAGCTACATGCAAGAGAATGAAACTGGATTCTTGTCTAACCCAATACACAAAGGTAAACTTGAAATGGATGAAAGACTTGAATGTAATTATGAAACTACAAAACTCTTAGTAAAAAAAATTGGCAAAAATCTCTTAAATATAAACATGAGCAACTTTTTCCTGAACATATCTCCTTCTCTAAGGGAAACAAAATAAAAAGTGAACAAATGGGACTACATTATGCTAAAAAGTTTCTGTACAGCAAAGGATACCATTGGTAGAACAAAAAGGCATCCTACAGTATGGGAGAATGCATTTTTAAATGACATATCCGACAAGGGGTTAACATCCAAAATATATAAAGAACTCACACGTGTCAACGTACAAAAAGCAACACAGAAAAAGGGGGATAGATATGAAGAGACACTTCTCCAAAGAAGAAATTCAGGTGGCCAACAGGCACATGAAAGGATGCTCCACATCACTGATTATTAGGGAAATGCAAATGAAAACCAAATGAGATATCACCTCACACCAGTTAGGATGGCCAACATAGAAAAGAATAGGAACAACAAATGCTGGCAAGGATGCAGAGAAAGGGGAACCCTCCTACACTGCTGTGGGGAATGTAAACTAGTTCAACCATTGTGGAAAGCAATATGGAGGTTCCTCAAAAAAGTAATAATACAAATACCATTTGACCCGGGAATTCCACTCCTAGGAATTTACCCAAAGAAACCAACTTCTTAGATTCAAAAAGACATATGCACCCCTATGTTTAATTGCAGCACTATTTACAACAGCTAGGATATGGAAACAGCCTAAGTGTCCTTTGCCTCTTCTGCCATACCACATGACTGTCCTCTCCTCACAGATGGGCCAGGGTTCTACTGCTCCCCAAGAGTCAGTGTTTGCAAAAATGCACATCCCAGAACCTCACGATGTGCTGTGCTTGACTTACAGATGCTGCACCAGTAGCCACCGTCCACTGTGAGGAAGTCCCCAAAGAGCCAGCCTTGGTCCTCAAGTGGGCCTGCCCTCCTGGCACCAGCAGAGGCTTCTTGCTGGAGATGAGCAGTGAAGCTTGGGAAAATAAGACCAACCTGGAGAGCTGCTCCTTGGAGAATGGCACTGAGTACAGGATGGAAGTCACACATTTGAATTTTTTTACCTCGTACAACGTCAGTATCACTGCTTTGTCCTGTAACACCAACCCAGTACTCCCTGCCCAGAGCATCTGCCACACTGGTGTCACAGGTGGGCTTTGTGGTCACCCTGGAGAGGCTGACCCTGTGGGTGGGTCTGAAAATATGGCCCAGAAACCTCTTTTTAAAAAAATTTCTGCTAAAATATTTGTTTTTGTTGGCATAGAGTGTAAACTCAGGTCTATAAAAATCTAGTGTAAAAAAGCAGAGTAAAAGGGGCTCATTCTTTACATTCTAAAAGTTTCTTTTGCTTTACAGAATAATTCATTTGCTACATTTTCTCTTAAGTAATGAGTTTCCTTGCTGCATTAAAGAAAAGCATTTTTATAGAAATGTTCCAATACATACAAAAGTAGAGGAAAGCATAAAGAAACCCACTTATCTATCATTACCCTGTGGAACATATTCCAGCCTTTGACCAATCTCATTTCATTTATACCCCCTCCTCCCATACTGGATTATTTGGAGACCAGTCCTGGTCATTTGATAATTTTGTTTGTAGCATTTCAGTATGTATTGCTCCAAGAAAGGGACTCCTTTGCCCTTCTTTCAAACATAACCACTTTGCTATTATCATCACACTTAAACATTTAAGAAGACTTTTTTTTCACTATTACTAGATTCTCAGTTGAGATTTGTATCTTCCTACAATCCATATTAACAAGGTCCATAAAATAGGGGATCACACACTGTGCAGGGGATTCCCCTAGTTAATTTTTTCTTGCTCATGTGTTTTTTTGTGGGGTGGGAGAAATTGCTTCTTGTTATCTTAGCTTCATTTTTATCTGTCTTTTGCTCCCATGTCTTTGATAAAGTTATGTCTTAGGTCAACCTGGTGAGTTGGTTTTCTTTGTGCTTTTTGCCTTCTGGATATTTTTCCTTTAGGGTATCACAATGGACAATTTCTAAAGAAGTAATGGTTGTGATAGTAAGAAAAAAATGGCCTCTTAGTATAGGGACACTGACTTGAAAAGTAGTTGAGGGGTTCTGTGGACAGAGCATTAGATTTAGACAGGCAGACCTGAGATTAATTTTTAGTCCTTCTTTTACTAGCTGTGTGATCTCAGAAAAGCTACTTAACCTCTCTGAACCTTGTTTTTCTTAGTTTTAAAAGGGGGAAATTATACCCACCTTTTAGGACTGTTACACAATTTAGATGAGGTAGTGTGGCTGCTCAGGTTGTGTACTGCACAACTCCAGGGGCCACCATTCATATGGACGATGATGTGCGTGGGGCTCCTTGGTGTTATGTAGTACATAACTGTATAGGGTGGACCTGGGTCATACTCCTTTGGGTTTCTACAGCACTCTAGAAGATGATAGAAACAATGAACCTGTGGGTGCTTTTTTTTTATGTGCAAGCTCTTTATTATGTCATTCTCTCAGTGGGTAAAAGCTGCTGAGGAGCAGGAACTGTGTCTGATTTGGTATCTCCAGGGTTGAGCACAGTGCCTAGTGGAGAGAAGAAGCTCTCTGAGGCTGAAAGATATATGGCAAGGTTGGATGATGACCACCTACCATTTAGTCCAGTGATCTGTAGCTCCCTTTCCTCAGATTTTTATGCACAAATTTATGTGCATAATTCTTATGTGCAAATTTTTATGTGCGTAATTCTTATGTACACATTTTTAAGTAGAAATTTAACATGCTTTTTGAGTGTACAAATTTAACATTTTTAGAATTTAACATAAAAGGGGAGTTGTATTTTCTCTGAGAAAGATAGGAAGCATTGGTGGGATGGCTGAGAACTGGAGTGATAGTCTTTAGCCAACATTTGCTGGTTGGTTACTGTGTACCAGGGATAAGGGACACTATGGTGAGTAAGGCAGACAGGCTTGCTGGAGTACAGAATTGAGGTAAGTGTGAGAGTGGACAGTCTTGGGGTGGGAAGCTGGGGAATCCTGGGTGGCTAAAAGGCATAGAGCAGTTGGTGAGGGGAAAGGTGAGGGCCTGTGTTGGAAGTCTCTGTTGAGGCCGGTGACAATTAGATATGGGACAGCGCCTCCACGTGGTCACTGCTGACAGTTACTTGAGAGGTTGTTGAAGCGTGTTCAGAGCTGCTCTGTCCAATAGAAGATTCTGTGAGCCTCATGTATAATTCTAGGAGCCACATTAAAAAAGACGAAAAGAAATGGCTGAAATTAAGTCATATTTTGTTTAACTCAGTATATTAAAAATGTTATCATTTCAACATGTAATCTGTTTAAATTATATTAATGAGATATTTCCTATTCTTTTTATTAAGTCTTTGATATCCAGTCTGTATTTTACATGTATAGCACATCTGAATTTGGACTAGTCACACTTCAAATGCTCAACAGCTGGTATGGCCTGTGGCTGCCATGCAGAGACAGTTTGCTGTATTGAGAGAATTGCACTGTGGTCTTCTTGGAGATCAATTTTCTCAGTCTCCCTGAATCTTGAATATAATAATGAACACATAGGACTTGTTCATGGAAGATAAATTTAGGAAGAGAAAGTGTGTGGAAAGAGATGATCTTTAATTCGGTGTTTTCTTTCTTTTGTGTTAATTCAGAGAGCTGCTTTGCCAGCTTAGCTCAGGAGGGGAGGTACACCATTGTGAAGGTCAGCCATGGAATTCTCCTGTGTTGGCTTTTCCACTTTCTGGGAAGCAGGTTGGCTGGGTTACTCTGGTGGCATTTTAAGCCAACTGTTGCAAAAATGAGAACTCAAGTGTTGAAGGACATGAGCGGGAATGAGACCAGGTCTCAGGAGAAAGTGCGTTCTCTACATGCCATCTTTGCTTCCCTCTGGGAACCTGCTTCTCATCGTTCCCAGCCCACTGACTGGTTCTGGTGCCGAGTCTGTGTGGGCGGCAGGTGTCTGCGTGTAGCTCCCAAGGCCCCACCTTAGCGTTCCAGCCACACAGTCTCCCTCTCACTCTCCTTCTAATACTCCAGTTCTCATGGCAAGGAACTGGCCCTCCTGGTTCAGGAGGGACCTGGAGAAGGTCAAGAAGGTAGGTTATTTTTATTTAGCAAGGCTGTGGGAGCACCCCAGGCATGTGGCTGGGCACCCATGTGCCCATCGTGAACCAGGCAGGCTCCCCTATGAGCTACCATCTCTGCTTCTCACCAGTTCCCTCCCCTGCCTCTTGCTTCTGGATTTGCTTTGCAAGCGCCCAGCACACAGCTTCTAGAGCAAGGGCAGAACTTCAGGAGGTCACTGCACCAAATTCTCTCCTTAATACTGTTCCCTCTTGGTTTTAAATGTTGGGTGATCATGTTTTATTTGTTCTGTTTCAGATCCTCCTGTTCCAGATGGATCCCCTAACATTACCTCTGTCAGTCACAATTCGGTAAAGGTTAAGTTCAGTGGGTTTGAAGCCAGCCACGGACCTATCAAAGCCTATGCTGTCATTCTCACCACTGGGGAAGGTAAGGAGGGCTCATTCCAGGACAGTCAGCCAGTGCCTGGGTGCCACTTCTGTGCCCACTGAGGCATGGGGTTAAAGACACCAACGCATGTCCGTCTTAACACTGGGGTAAGCTGTTCGCCTAATGGTCTAGGTCACGGGTCACCAAACTTTCTATCAAGGGCTACATAGCAAATACTTGAAGGTTCTCAGGCTTTACAGTCTCTGTTGCAGCTAACTCAACTCTGCCACTGTAGCATGGAAGCAGTCATAGGAAATCTGTAAACAATGGGTGTGGCTCTTTCAATAAATGGTATTTACCAAAATGGGTGGCAGTGTGGATTTGGCCTGTGGGTCTGGACCACTTGGTGACCTCCAGTCTAAGTTATTCTTCTCTTTTATACCACTGGATCTTTTAGGTGGCAGAATATTAGTCTTAACCAACTTTTTCTCTCTAAATCAGTCTCTCGCTCTTTCTCTCTCTCTCACACACACACACACACACACACACACACACATGAATCATCCTTAAAGGGTGATTTTTTTCTTGAAAGCAACCAAAATGGTTTGCATTTGTAGTGGGAACTTGCAAAAAGCATCCTCATAGCAGAGAGAGGAGGTGGATTCAAGCCACTTTTCCATAAAGGGCTCTATTAAATTCTTTGGTAGGAAGAAGGGAATGACTTGAGGGTTCCTTTGTTAGCTGCGTGTGGGTGATCTGCATAAGGCCTGGGTTTAAAGTGCCAAGTTTTGTTGTTTTTGGTGATTCTTTAAGCAAAATGTGAATAATACAATACTGCCCCTGCCCAGTCTTTCAATCAGTGATTCTGTCTTCATCTCCCTGAGAAAGTAGAGATCAAACACACAGTAAGAGTGTGGGGGTCCTGGAAGACAAGGAATTGGCTGGTGTCATAAACCTGGGGCAGAGTTTCAAAAAGTGATGTTGTGATCTCACTGGCTGTCTTTGTGTTTGTGTCTGCTTCAAACACTAGTCGTTTTGCTGTGAAGATTTTCAGCAAATCCCAAGCTCAGACCTTTGCTGAGTGAGGGAGGAAATATTTCCTTGTGACCAGATTGACTGCTGGCAGCCTGTGATGGATGTGAGCACACCCTTCAGGTTGATGGCTTGGGCTAGGAATACAGCCCACCATATAGGCAGTGTGGCCTGCGCCCAGGTCCTTCTAGCTTTCTATGCCTTTGTGTCCTCATCTGTACAATGGGGAAAGTAAACCTAGGTAATGGGATCATTGTGGTGAGTAAATGAGTTAATGTAAGTAAAGGACTTAGAACAAAATGTAAGTGAAGCCTGGCATAGAAAGCACACTGAGAGTGACAGTGTCATCATTATTACCTAGCATCAATGTCATTATTTACAAGCATGGGAGACTTAAATCTCTCCACAGTCAGTGTCTTAACAACTTTGCTTCTGTGTGCCTTTCTTAGCTGTTCACCCATCTGTAGATGTTTTGAGATACACATATGAAGATTTCAAAAAGGGGGCCTCAGATACTTATGTGACATACCTCATAACAACAGAAGACAAGAGAAGTTCTCAAGGCCTGTCTGAAGTCCTAAAATATGAAGTTGATGTTGGGAATCAGTCAACCACACATGGCTATTACAACGGGAAGCTTGCACCTCTGGGCTCCTATCGGTAATGGCTTCTGATTCTTGCTCTTTGGAGTCTGAGCCTTGTGAATGCAAAGCTTTTCATGCCTGAGGTGTTGGACACGTCTCAGCTGCCTCTTTTCCTCTTGTCATCCTGTAGGGCTTGTGTGGCTGGCTTTACCAATATTACCTTTAACCCTCAAAATGATGGACTCATAGATGGCACCGAGAGCTATGTGTCCTTCAGTCACTATTCAGATGCTGTTTTCTTGCCCCAGGATCCAGGTAAAGGAAGAACAACATTGCTTTTGGCAGCTCAGTTGGTGTTTGCTTCCAGTGTTTGCAGAGAGGCTGGTGTCTGTGCATCGCCTTTAGATTCCCAAAGGAGTTGCAGCTGCTTGTCTCATCTCAGAAGTAGAGATGGAACTTGGCCATCAGGGTGCAGCTCAGCTTCCTCTTCTGAGACCCCCAAAACCCCTGTCCCCTCACCCCATTCTCTGAAATGCCGGTTGCATTCCCAATCTGCAAAGAGGGCTTTAGTCCTCTTTTCCCAGTGTGGTGATTTGTGTGCCCATGTACCAGGCACACAGTGTGAATTTTAGTGTCTAGGAAGAATGCTTGAGTATTAGGATCAGGAGGGGCCATAGAAATCATCTTGTTCAAACCCCTTTTAGAAATGAGGTTGTTAAGGCTCAGAGAGGGAAGTGACCTGTCCAAGGTCACACAGGGCCTTAGAGGCAGGCTTGACATTCTGGTCTTAGCCTCCTTGTCTAATGCTCCTGTCCTTTATCATGCAGCGACAGGTGACTTAGGAGCTTCAAGGGCCCAAAGGGGGTACATCCCCTACCTTCAGGCTGAAGACAGTTGACTGACTAGTTAGTTTGTTTAGTTTTCATACTTGGTAGTTGTTGGCTTCAGGAAAGAAGCCCAGAGGCAAAGGGAGTCCCCACTCTGTTCCCCAATAAGCAGATGGGTTTTGATAGCTGAACATTGCCTGTAGGTACTTGTGCTCATGTGTGGGGTTAGTCTCCAGGAGTCAGAGGGGGCAGGAGCCACATGGACCATCTTGCCTAGTGGTTTTCAAACAGTGGTTGCTCCATTAAGCAGGGCCCAGTCCTGAGATGCTCCCCTTGCTCAACAACAGTGTTTCTCCTGGTTTTCTGTATTATATATTGGGCTGCTGCATGCAATTTCATTTGAAGAAGGAAATCATGGGTTAGGTGAATCGGAAAATCACGGATACCCCAGGTGCCTAAGTCTGCAGTTGAGGAAACTGAGACCCAGAGGGAAACAGTGGCTTTCTCAAGACCATCCCGTTCAGTGGCAGCCTGGAGACAGAGCACTGGGTCCCAAATGCCTGGAGAGAGAGAGAGAGAGAGAGAGAGAGACACACACACACACACACATACACACACGCACTCTGGTTCGAGACTCTGGGCCTGTTGTTGGTGAGCACCTCTCAAAGTGCCTCCCTTTTGATTTTGCCCAGGTGTCATTTGTGGAGCAGTCTTTGGATGCATCTTTGGTGCCCTGGTTATCGTGGCTGTGGGAAGCTTCATCTTCTGGAGAAAGAAAAGGTGACTGTTGCTTATGTTACCGTTAATACCTTACTTTTTAAGGGTGCTTTTCATTATGGAAGCTTTCAGACATTCATGCAGTTGGAAGGAGCAGTATAATAAGACCCATGCCCCCATCATCTAAAACCTTCACCATATGGCCAGTCTTACTTCATCTCAACCCTGAAGCTGGGGGATTTCAAAGCATCAGGGCAGAGGGTTGGGGTGGTGGGGGAAACACTGCAATGTAGGATGCTACTTTTAAGTCGTGTGTTCTGAGTTCACAAATCAGTTTCATAGTTGGTAAGGGATTTCTGTTGAGAGTTAGCTCAGTTTGAACACTTGCTCCATCTCTGACTAGCTGTTAGGGAGCTTAGCCTTAATGTCTATTACAATCCTTGACATAGGGGTGATAACAGTGCCTAACTTGAGATGCTGAGGAGCATTGAATACATAAAGTGCTTTGACAGTATCTGGTACCACGTATGCTATTACTATTATTTTATCTGTATGACTACCCTTGGAGTTAGTTAAATAGTAAAGTAGCAATCTGTTTTGAGTGTTTACTGTGTACCTAGATATGTGCTTCCTGTGACTTCTCATTCATGAGCTCTGAGGCAGGTCTGATAAGCCCCATCACAGGGATGTGGAAGCTGCATGTAGGAGGTGTGGAGATGGATTGAACCTGGTCTTTGCACTTCATCACATGCCCTCTTGCCTAACCGTGTGTGTGTGAAGCCTGTGCATCAACTGAGATTCAGTCTCAGTTATTAGCTACTTCTGGCCAGGAAATCTCCTCCTGGCCTGGGCATTTCCTACAGTGGGCTCTGCCAGCCCCTTTTGCTGCTGCTTTGCCCTATTGAGTTGACAGGCAGCCTTTTTTTTTGCAAGGGCAGAGTCAGCTTTATTGTTTCTTGTTAAAATAAAAGCAGTACAAAGGCAAAAATGAACAAGTGGGACACATCAAACTTAAAAGTTTCCATATACCAAAGGAACCCATCAACAAATCAAAAGGCAACCTACTATATGGAGAATATGTTTACAAATGATACAGTTTATGAAGGTTTACTATCCAAAAAATATATGAAGAACTCATGCATATCAATATCAAAAAAAACAATCCAATTAAAAAATGCGTAGAGGACTGGAATAGACATTTTCCAAAGAAGACATACAGATGGCTAACAGACATGTGAAAAGATGTTTGACATCATTAGTAAATCATCAGGGAAATGCAAATCAAAACCACAATAATTTATCACCCCACACCAGTAAAAATGGCTAATATAAAAAAAGACAAATAAAAAGTGTTGGTGAGGATGTAGAGAAGAGGGAGCCCTTGAACACTGTTGGGGCAAATGTAAATTTGTACAGCCACTGTGGAAAGCAGTATGGAGGTGTCTCAAAAAACTAAAAATAGAAATAGGACCCAGCAATTCCACTTCTGGGATTCTATCCAAAGAAAACAAAATCACTAATTCAAAAAGAAACATGCACCTCTGTTTTTTTAAAGTTCTTTATAATAGCCAAGACATGGAAGTAACTACATGTCTGTTGATGGATGAATGGATAAGAAGATGTCACACACACACATACACACACACAGAGGAATATTACTCAGCCCTAAAAAAGAACAAAATCTTGTCATTTATGACAACATGAATAGACCTAGAGGTTATTATGCTAAATGAAGTAAGAGAAAGGTAAATACCATATGGTTCCTTTTTATGTGGGATCTTAAAACCAAACAAATAAACAAACAAAACAGAAATAGACTCATAAACATAGAGAATAGACTGCTGGTTACCAAGGTGGGGTGGGACAGATGAAACAGGTAAAAGTGGGTAAAGAGATACAAACTTCAAATTATAAAATAAATTAGTCATGGGGATGAAAGTACAGCATAGGGAATATAGCCATTAATATTATAGTATCTTTTTATGGTGACAGATGGTAATTACACTTATTGTGATGAATATTTCCTAACATAATTGTCAAATCACTGTTGTTCATCTGAAACCAATATAATGTATATCAACTAATTTCAATTACAAAATTAAAAAAAGGAACATTTATTGTTAAAATTCAAAACAATTACAGTGGAAAAAAGTCTAATATTTATAAATTTTAAAAAGTTACACATGCTTATGGCAAAAAAAAACCATGGAAGACCAAAGAAAATAGATAACCTGTAATCACAGCACCCACACAATACTACTGTTAACATTGGTGTGATTGCAGTTTAATCACACACAAATACACATGTATACACACACAAATGGAATCACATTCATTGTTTTCTAGCCTGCTTTATTAACTTAAGACATTGTGGACTGCTTCATTTCTTCTTTATTTTAAGTGGCTACAGAATATTCAACTGTCTGGGAATTATTCAACCAATTTCCTGATGTTTTCAGTTTTTTTTTTTTCCACAGTCACTTACCCTTGTGCCTAATCTTTGGCACATTCATTATTTCCTTAGGCTATATTCCAAGGTGGGCAGTTGCTTGGTCAGTGGGCATGAATGTTTTCAATTTCGATAATGTACTGTCAAATTACCTTCTAGGAAGTTGTTTTTTAAACATCAATAGGGATTTAGCCCCAATACAGGAGAGTGCCAAGGGTCTTACCAACTTGTCTACACTGGGTATATTTTCTGGTTTATTCCATTAACTTATTTGAAAGTCTTCTTAAAAAAACCGAGTATGAAATAATGAGTCTGACTTTACAATAGGTTAATGCTGCTGATTTATATTTACATCAGGAAATTTCTTTAAGTTGCTTAAGTAAGATTCTTTCATACTTTGAGGTGGTATGAATGAGAGTTACTTACAGATACATAGTCATCATTTGCTGCTTAGACCATTAGGCTTAGTACTAGTGAGCAGGTTTTAGTGTCTTATGAACTAATGCCCAGGGAAAAGGCATTCTGAAAACACATGAAAGGGGGAACCATGGAATTAACTTCTTTTGGTCTAATGGGTCTTTCTTTTCTTTCAAAATAGGAAAGATGCAAAGAATAATGAAGTATCCTTTTCTCAAATTAAGTAAGTCTTGAGAGTTATGGGCTTCAGTTTAAGACATTTAATCTCCCAATCTGTTTAGTGACTAGAGAATTGGTGGAACTTGCTGTCATTTCACCTGATTGACATAGCTGGCTATGATCTGCCAGAAGCTCCTGCTGGCTTTGTCATTCTGCCAGGAGTTTGTGTTTATCAGTCTCCCCAAGCTGGCCTCCTTGTCGTGTCCACGAGGGCGAGTAGAACCGTATTTGTCATATTCTACCAATAAATATGTATTTTGTAACCAAAAAAAAGCTTATCAGTATCTCAGAGAAGAACTTGCTCAAAGTCACAAAGCCAGTCAGTTACATAACAGAGTCTAGAAATCATATGTCCTGATTCACATTTCAGTGTTTTGTAGATAACTTTATACTTATATTTGCCATCTCTCCTCCCACCCCCAGTTATGCTATGGTTTTGTTTCTTGGAGAAGATGTTTACTATCTTATCTAGTCATGGTTGAGTCAGTTTTTCTAATTGCTTGTTTTTTTTTCTTTCCCTTTCTGTGATGAAGGCCTAAAAAGTGAGTGACCTCTTTGATTTTTGTGACTTGTGTTTTCCCATTTTGGGCATGAACTTTATTGAATGTAAAAAGCCCTAATAAATTGTTTTGTTTTCTTAGATCCAAGTTAGTCAAAGTGGAGAATTTTGAGGCTTACTTCAAGAAACAACAAGCTGACTCCAACTGTGGGTTTGCAGAAGAATACGAAGTACGTTGTTGTAACTACTGTGTTTTTAATTGCTTTATGTTTCTCCTGAGAGTTGGAAAATATCCGGTTTTGGTTCATGGTGAAGCTTTGGGTTGAGAAACGTCCCGCTTGGAGGGGAGAGAGCAGCTCTTGCATGTGCCTTGGCTCCCACTGTTGCCATGTTGGCTGTGAGTGCTTAAATGCCCCTTTGCTTCTAGTGAATTATACATTTAATTTTGTTGATACTTCAAGATTTTGCAGAGGGATACAGAAGCTGGAAATTCAAGTTAAAGGGCAATTAGTTAGAGAAATTGGGGCTGTATGAGCTGGAAGGACACCAGATGGGGCTCGATAACTGTGTGGCCAAGGTTGGTTTTTGAGGCTTATGTTGCATCCCATGCAAAGACTTTGTGCCTTTCAGGCCCTTGTGTGCCCTGTTCTCCTAGCCGGCCTGGGAACTGGCCCTCCCTGCTGGGATGGCCATGTACACTTGCCCCTCAGGGGCTCCCCCTGCTACAGCAGCTCTGCCCTTACTGAAATCTATTCACCATTTGTTTTGGTTTCCTGTGACTGCCGTAAAAAATTACCACAAACTGCTGGCTTAAAACAACAAAAATTTATTCTCTTCCGGTTCTGGAGGTGATACAAAATCCAAAATCAAGCTGTTGACAGGACTGTGCTCTCCCCAAGTCCTCAAGGAGAAGAATCTTTCCTCAACTCTTGCAGGTTTTGGTGGCACCAGGCAACCTTGGCTTACAGCTGTGCCACTCCAGTCTCTGCCCCTGCTTTCTCCTCCTCCTCCCTACATCTCCTGTTGGACTTGTTGGATTTGGGGTTCACCCAGACAGTGTGAGATGATCTCAGCTCAGGATTCTTAAGTTAATTCCATCTCCAAAGACCCTTTTTCCAAATAAGATCAGATGCATAGGTTGCAGGAGTTAGGATGCGGACATGTCCTGTTCACCTTCAACCTACTGGGCATGCAAAGTACAGCCCAGCTTTTGCCACCTCTGTGATGTTTTCTCTGATGACATTAGGAGAACTTGAAATCTGTGTTTTTATCCCTGTTTCATCTGTGACATATTGCTTGTTACTGATATTCAGCATTCAGCCTTGTAATGTTAATAACTTCTGTCTGCACGTCTCTCCCAAGTTGTAAGTCCTTAAAGGCAAGGACCATCCTTTTTTTTTTTTTTTTTTTTTTT